GTCGTCGGTATGGCGCGGACTATGTTTTGACTCTCCGCGGCCTCGCATGCAAGCGGGGCGCATTGTTCCGCCGCGCGCCGGACGGGCCCGGGTGGACCGCGGTGGACCCAAACCTCCGGTGCAGCGGCGGCCGCTCGGCACCCCCGGACCCGTGCGTGGCGCCCATTCACGGGCCGAGACGCGGTGTCGCCAGCAGCGCCACGCGCGGCGCACGTGGAGCGGCAGGTGACACACACACACCAAACTGGCGCGACACCTTCAAAACGACAAAACTTATCAAATGAAGACTAAAGCTTTCAGTTTGACCGAAAGTGACAGATTTGTCGTGTCACTGTGATCTGGTTAAGTACATACCGTCGTGACTTGTGTCTTCAGACCTGGCGCGGTGCCCGTCAGCAGGGGGAGGGGGGGTCCCATATTACAGGACTCCGCACCCCTATAGAGTTCGGAAACCCAAGTTTGTGAATGTGGCATACTATAGTAGGTATGTGAACGTCATTCTCACTCATGGAGGCACAAATGTATGAATTATCAAAGAAATATTCAAATCGTATTTACTCCCTTAACACGTTCCCTGCGGCTCATTTTTCATGACCATGATTTAACATAGGAGCGTAGGAGCGTGACCACACAGTGGCCATGCCACAGGGAAGGTGTTAGGTGGGTGCATGGTAGACTGGCACTTAAAAATCACTTTTTAGATATTTAAAGGTCTTAGGGTCAGACTTTGTTTCTTTCGATGAAAAAAAAAATCTATTTTTTTCGGAGACCGATCGGACACGTTTTAGTGCTGCCGCAACGGCCTTGAAGTTGATTTATTTTAAATAACGACACTAAGTCACATAAACGTTAATAGCTACCCTCCCCGATGTCCGATCGACGTCTGATTTTGACCAAAAGTAGAGTCTAATATAGCGCAACTCTCGTGCAAAGCCACCCCGCTGTAGCTCAAATACTTTCGGAGTTATGGCCGTTGAAAGATTTTGGTCAGTTTTAGTTCCTTTAGGGAAATGGCCAAATTTCACTAAAAATGACTTTGACCGTCGTGTTTTGCTCTTAAAAATCAGCCACTGGTTCTCCACGAGTAAATTTGTGTTCTGAATCCGAATCCGTCGAGAGATTTGACGGATTACATCGTCTTTACTGGCCTTGAAAACTTTCATTTTACTAGGGGCTTATGGAGGACTGTTTTTCCAGAACAGCAATAAGACGATGTAATCCGTCAAATCTCTCGACGGATTCGGATTCAGAACACAATTTTACCCATGGGGAACCAGTGGCTGATTTTTGAGAGCAAAAGACGACGGTCAAAGTCCTTTTTAGTGAAATTTGGTCATTTCCCCAAAGTTACTAAAAATGACCAAAATCTTTCAATGGCCATAACTCCGAAAGTATTTGAGCTACAGCGGGGTGGCTTTGCACGAAAGTTGCCCTATATAATACTCTACTTTTGGTCAAAATCAGACGTCAATCGGACATCGGGGAGGGTAGTTATTAACGTTTATGTGACTTAGTGTCGTTATTTAAAATAAATCAACTTCAGGGCAGTTGCGGCAGCACTAAAACGTGTCCGATCGGTCTCCGAAAAAAATAGATTTTTTTTTTCATCGAAAGAAACAAAGTCTGACCCTAAGACCTTTAAATATCTAAAAAGTGATTTTTAAGTGCCAGTCTAGTGCATGGGCATTCACGCGCCTGCAAGTGTGCGACATTCACACACTTGCGTTTCCAGCACGGTAAAAAAATCCAGCGTGAATTTTACCGACCCGGCGTGGCAACGCACCTGAACACGCGCTGGGCTGGGAATTTACATGCCCACATGGTCTGTGAATTCCCGGCCCAACCACCCGCGAAGTTACCAGCCCAGTGGGCAGGGAAGGTTGTCATTACAAGCCCAAACTGTAAATTCACTACGTGGGCTGGAAAGGAGCCTTTGCTGGCCACCAATCTGCAAAAATGCAGGTCGCGCTAGCAGATCTGTCTTTCTTGCCCACCAACTGCGAATTCCCAGCCCGCGGAGTGTTCTGCTGCGTTGCCACACAAGGAGAGTGGAAATTTGCGGGCGAAGCGAGAATGCTCAGGGCATATGTCGAGTGCGAGTTCCACCGGAGCCACCGCTTCCACTTTCTGGATGCTACAGTCCTAAGGGACTATTTCAACATTCGCCAACATTTACTATCAGCTCGGAAAAAATTAACACCGATGGTGTCATTGGGCATGTCAAAACAACAACTCATGCAGTTGCCGTGACGAAAGGGACTTCTCACGTGGGCGCACCACGACGTGACGAGGAGAGCAGTACCGTACTGAACAAGGCATCGTTGCGGGGACCTTCCGAGCGCTAGCATTTAACATAGTTTTTCTAGAATATGATTGACTTTCGGAACAAATGCCGATCGTCGTCGGTTAGGTTGGTTCCTCATAAAACATACCACGTAAAATTAAAAGGCACTTTGCAAAGGAATTTTAAATTAAACGCGATTAACTAGGTTTTTATGAGATGCGATCACTGCAACGCCATCTGGCGGCAGTTGATCGCAATGCAGAATCCTTGTGGAAGTTTTGCCCGGTTTTGCCGGATTGTGACAGAGCTTAACAGGCAAGCACATCATTTCTTTGAGTGCCGCTGCACCTTTTAAGACCTGTTGTGCCGATTTCCGTTCAACCGAAATCTCTCCTGAATTTTACCGTCCGTGGGCTGGAAAGATTACTTTTCCCACCCATCACGGTGAAATCTCCTGTCCAGGGCGAGGAAATTTGCAGCGGTATAGGGAAATCCCCTTCCAGGTGGTTGCGAAAGTAAGCTTTCCAGCCCACTCCTTGTGAAATTACCTCTGAGGTGGGCAGGTAATGCAGCCTTTCTCAACCCAAACGGTAAATTTGCTACCAGGGCTTGAAATTTACTGGCCAATGTTGCCTGTAAATTCACTTGCGTGGGCTTGTAAGTGGCTCTTTACCAGCCCACTGGGCATGTAAAGGCTACTTTACAGCCCAAACAGTAAATTTCCAATCCATGTGTTGCGAATTCCCAGCCCACTGAACTGTAAAATTACTAATATTTTTTACAGTGAGTGCATAAACTGTAAATCCGGGGTGTCCAGCAACTGTGCGACTTAAGGTGCCCGACCCTAAAACCTGTGCGATTTAAGTCGCACAGCTGCTGGACACCTTGTAGTTGGCGCCTTTTCCCTGCAGAGGGGCCCAAGCAGGGGGTGTCCAACAACAGGACACCCTACCCTACCCAGGCTTGGCCTGGACCCTTGTGCAGGGAAAAGGGTGCCAAACCAAAAGGTGTCCAGCAGCTGTGCGACACTTAAGTCGCACAGGTTTTAGGGTCGGGCACCTTAAGTCGCACAGTTGCTGGAGGACACCCCAGATTTACAGTAGTGTACTCAGAGCAAAACAATTGGTGTAATAAAGTAAAATGCATCGGAGACAGTAGCGGCGCGGCCACCCGCCGGGCCGCAGCTCTGGCCGAGCGGCGGTGGTTCGATGACCGGTCCTCGTGTGTCGGGGTCAGGAGTGAGCAGGCGCAGGCCGCCGGCTCCGGCTCCTGCACCCACCCAGATTTGTATTTTTCCATCTGCCGCGACATAAACAGTTTGGAGGATCGTTACGCCACGCACGCGCTGCGCTGTTGTGTGTTGACTGCAGCAGGCGGCCCGTGGCGCCGGCGGAAACAAGGCCGCGTTTGGCAATGATCGCGGCAGCATCTGCCCCGTCAGTGCGACCGATGCCTCGACATGCCTCATTTCCATTAGTGGATTATACTTTTGTTTACCCCCCCACTTCCTCCCACCTTCTCAACTCATCATCCATCAGCTCAACTTCCCCTTCTCATTTCCTGCACGGAGCGCCCCTCCCCCCAACTCGGCTAAGATGTTTTTTGAAGTTTGCCAGTGTTCCATTATTTTTCGTCAACTCCCGGTTTTGGGCGATTACCTGAGCCGTGCGCGTCGAATGCTCTCGTTGAGCCATCGCGACCAAGCGTTACACTCGCTACACTAGAGCGAACCCACGAACGTGACGAACGGACGTGACTTCTTTCGTAGACATTTGCATATTTAGGCACATTTTAATTTACTCCAGAATCTAAAAATGACATCAACAACTAAGATATCTAGCGGCTGATTTATTTGGCAAATTTCCGTCGATTGTGTTTCTGTCCAAAACAAAATCTTAACATGACATCAAAAACTCGGGTACTATACTTTAAAAATATGTCAGTCAAAAACAAATATGTTTCCGATAAATTTCCCTGATACACCCTAAGTATGTGGTAGGCGCGGTATAAGGGGGTGGAGACA